AGGCCTTCCTCAGAGGTCATACATATGTGGCAAGATGGTTAATAATTATTTTCACATAAACACAATCAGAAATATATACAAAGTATAGATTCAATGAGGACCATAAAGTAAATTGTTCAAAAGTAAAACCACCAGGCATAAGGTAAATATGCACATAAGACCTTTAAAGTGCAATCACTAGCCCAGTGATTATAAACTTGTGGTCCAAAAATTTCCTTCTTTGATTGTGTTGCCACAGCATTCATAAGTAAAAATGTGAAAATAATTATTAACCATCTTGCCACATATGTATGACCTCTGAGGAAGGCGTATTTGGCCGAAACGCGTAAGGTCAACTTTGTAAGCCCTTGATATTGTTATATTTTATATACATTGGTTGTAAATGGGCCTCTATATATGTTTTAAAATTTGTTATTATTATTAATAAATACATGTACCTCTTTTTATCTTTTATGGAAAGGTTTTAATATTGGCCCTCCTTTTCACTAACCTTTGCTTGGTTTTGGAGTTCATTGTTAGGTTCGGTGTTTTTCCCCCCTTGGTTTCTGCTACACAAAATAAATGACCAGTTTAGGTTGAACAAAATGGGAGTTTAGCATTTGGGACAAACTGCTGCCTCCAAATACAGCCATCCCCCATGGAGTGTGTTAACATTATACTATGGGGCAGTTTGGTAGTAAAGGCCAGGAGAGTTCAAGGTGGCACTGTGAGACCACCCACTGAATCTAGAATCATGAAGCAGCCAGCAGATGGTAAATCTAAAAGGGAATGATCTGGAGATACTATCTAAGTGCCTGTGATGACAGGGTGCGCAGGAACCACTATTCAGTGATGATGATTCTGGCTGCAGCCTTGATAAAAAATGCATGCAGAGGGCATGTGAAGGGGTCATGGCTCAATGGTAGAGCACCAGCTTTGCATGCAGGAAGGTCCCAGGTTCAGTCCCCAGGAACGTCAGCTCAAAGGATCAGGCAGTAGGTGATGTGAAACACCTTGACTTGAGATCCTGGAGAGCCACTGCTGGAATAGCTGATAGTGACTTTGATAGACCAGTGGCCTGCCTGAGACCGCCTTCTGTCCCCACTGTAGGGCCAGAAGCGCCTGGTGCTCTCTGAGAGCTGTTCACGGGACTCCATGAGCAGCCAGCCCAGCTGTACGGCACTCAACTATTCCTATGGCGTGAATGCCTGGAAGAGCTGGGTGCAAGCCAAGTATGCCGGTGGCGAAACGAGCAAAGGTGATGAGCTGCGCTTTGGCCGTAAGTATGGGTCGAAGGTGACCATGGTTGCATAAGAAGGGAATGTCAGAGGTGGGTGGGTGGATGCTGGGAAACTGATGTCTCTCCCTCCCAGCCTGAGGCTGCCTGTTGCTGTTTCCACAGCCAAGCCTATGCGGATCAAAGAGGACATCCTGGCCTGCACGGCCGCAGAGCTTAATTACGGCTTAGCTCAGTTCGTCAAGGAAGTCACCCGGCCCAATGGCGAGCGCTATGAGCCCGACAGCATCTATTACCTCTGCCTTGGCATACAGCAGGTAGGAAGGCCCTGGCCTCACCCATCATCTCCCCACTTGCCAGGGAACAACAGGGCCTTGTCCTGCATGTCAGCATCAAGTAAGCAAGGCATTTCTTTGTGGCTCTTCCCAGGGCAAAAAAGCTCTTCTGCAACTGGGAATAGTGCATACCAGGAGTTTGGCAGTTACTCAGTTTGCAATTCCTTTTGCTACAGTTGTGTGTGTGTGAGGCTAAGTTTGCATTCCCTGCGTGATTCTGTACTTCTCCCCCACTCTTGCCCACCAGTATCTGCTAGAGAACAATCGCATGGTGAACATCTTCACAGACCTCTACTACCTGACCTTCGTGCAGGAGCTCAACAAGACACTCAGCGGCTGGCAGCCCACCACGATCCTGCCCAACAGTACGTCGTTTGGCGGGGCAGAAGCCTGTTCTCCTCTTCTGGCACTCTGGGATTCTCAGAGGGCCTTTGGGAAGAGAGCGGGCCTGATGCTGGGAAAGGGTTAACAGGCGGTCAGCTGTCCACAAGGAAGAAGGTTGTGGTCCCCCCCTCCCCAAGCTTGTCTGGAAGCTTCTAAATCAGCCTTTGTTCTGAGTGTCCTCGTTCCCCCCCCCCAAAAAAAAACAACAACAGCTGATCCTGTTTAGGACTAATCACTGTGTGTTGTATGCTTGCTGCGCCTTTCGCAATCCTACAGTCCCACTCTCAGGAGAGTTTACATCCTTCTAAAGCCCCTTGAAGCCAGTGGCACTGTTAATGTCTCAGGCTGTTTCACTGTAACTCCAGGAAGAAGGCCTTTGTAATCTGCATTTTATAAACCACCCACTGAGGCCTAAGGATGAGCTGTGCTTTATACCTAGGCCCAAGCTCAATGCACTAGCTGTTAAACTTCCGTATTCATGTACAGCGTAGGAAATGCAAATTTTACACGAGCTATAGAACCAAGGTTTTTTAAATTTTTGTTTGGGCTCCCCTTTCCCCAGACTGTTGAGAAATGACTGACTGGCTTCTCCCTACTTGTTTCTGGCCATGCACATGTGCCCACACAGCCACAAGCAAGCAGGCGAATTGCTGGTAGCAGGGGCAGGTTCACTGTATCAGATCCAAAAGGGAACATGTGCCTTGGCCTGGCAAAGTGGCGTCAGGGACTCGGAGAGGTCACCTGCCAGAGGGGATAGCCTGCTCCCACCCCTCCCAATGTAGTTCAGTTCCGCAGGCTATTCAGTGCAGTTCATCAGAGCTCTCTCTCTCTCTCGCCTTGTGGTCAGCTGTGCCATACCTGTGCTCTGACGGAGGTCGTTTGGCCTGTATGTTTGCAGACACGGTCTTCTCTCGCGTGGAAGAGGAGCACCTCTGGGAGTGCAAGCAGCTGGGCGTCTACTCCCCATTTGTGCTCCTCAACACCCTCATGTTCTTCAACACCAAGTTTTTTGGGCTGCAGACAGCTGAGGAGCACATGCAACTCTCCTTCACCAACGTGGTTCGACAGTCGCGCAAGTGCACCACGTCACGGGGCACCACCAAGGTGGTGAGCATCCGCTACTATGCTCCTGTACGGCACCGGAAGGGGCGAGGTAGGGAGCGCTTTCTGCATGTGTGCTTTTCCTGCCCATCGGCCGTGGGGGCAGCCCCTGACCCAGCTACCTCTCTCCTTGCAGATGGCGGCCTCGGCAAGCGGAAGCGGGAGGAAGAAGCACCGGTCTTGGAGCAGCGAGAGAATCGCATGAACCCGCTGCGTTGCCCGGTCAAGTTCTACGAGTTTTATCTGTCCAAATGGTGAGGGGCCCTGGCAGGGACTCCACGTTGTTGGCTGAGGCCTTAGGCAGGTTTTTGTCAGTGGAAGTGGAGCCAAGAGGCTGCAGGCAGTGTCATGACCATCACTGCTGGCCGCCCTCAAAGTGGGTGTGGGCAGTAACAGTAAAAAATAAAATGGCCACAAGGGCACTGGTTGTGGAGAGCATGAAAAGTAGCAGCGGCGGCTTGGTGGGGCCCGGTGGGTGTGGAAGCAACCGGCTTGAAAACCAGCTTAGCGCGAGCAGCACTAAGCAGACAGATCATGTTGGGAGTTCGGCTCTCTGTGCTTCTGCACAGCCGTGTGGATCCCGTTCCCTGGCTAGGAGTTACCCACATAGGCTGCAGAGGCACAAAGAAAAGCGTTGCAGAAACGGAGGGTCTGGCTAAGCTCCCACCGGTGCCCATCTCTCTGCTTCCCACCCAGGTGAGTATTCTCTTTTCTCTTTTTCTGGCCACAGCCCCGAGAGCCTTCGAAACCGCAACGATGTGTTCTACCTGCAGCCGGAGCGATCGTGCGTCGCCGAGTCACCGCTGTGGTACTCGGTCATCCCCATGGACAAAAGCATGCTTGAGAGGCTGCTGCACCGTATCCTAGCCGTGCGCGAGATCTATGAGGAGCACAGCCGCGGGGGCGGCGGTCTGGATGACGATATGGACTGAGCCGGTGCCAGCCTGGCCGGAGGGAGACTGCGGGGCCCGGCGCTGCTCCAGCCAGAGGGTGGGGGGCGGGGAGGTGTGGCTAGCTACCCCTTCCCTGCCTGGGGTTACAGGCACGTAGGACTCTCTCAACACGCCCCCCACTCCATGCTAGTGACGCCCCGCTCCCTCGAGGGGCCAGAGCCTCCTGCCCTTTCCCCTCTTCTCGTTCTGCCTAGGAGTGCCTGCTTGCCTGCTCCTTCTCCCCTGGCCAGGGTCTTCTTCTGCGGCACCAGGCCGGGAGGGGGGAGCTTCATGAATTGTTCTTTGGGGTGTGAGGAGGACGCGGAGAGCATCCTGGCCGGCGTTAGGCCCTTGTGGGTGGCGGGGGGGGCAGCTGTGTGGGCATGAGCCTTTCCCCGACTAGGGGAGGGGGGGCATGGGCTCCTTGTGTGCACATTCTCTTGCTTGGGGCTTTCTTCTCTCCTCTGGGTGACAGCCCTCCCCCTCCCCCTCCCAACAGCTGGATACTCTTTGTGTGTGCTGGGGGAGCAGGCCTGAATGACATCTGGGCAGTCTCTTGCCCTGCTTCCCCAAAGCATAGCTTGCCCACCGCCCCGTGGGGCGTCGGCTGCCCGGCGTCCCCCCTCCTTCTCCGTTTGTCTGTGTGTTGCGTTGAACTCTGAGCTATGGCTGGTGGTGGTGCCGTCTGTCGAGCCTGTATATATTGTTCTGGCCCAGCCCCTGTCTGTATCCTTGTCACGAGTGAGCCAGTTGCGGGTCTCATTGTAGTGATACCGGGGTGTTAGGACCCGCCCCGTGTCTCTCTGGAAACCATTCATTTCAAATAAAGGCACAAAACCTGCATGCTGTCTTTGCCTCTCTTTCGGCAGTGAGGACAGTCTGGGGCTTCTGCCGATGAGGGTGTGCCAGTTGGCTCCCTTTCCCATAGCACTGGAGCCTGTGTACCAGTCAGCACCCAGGGCCAAGGGGAGGGGCCGTGGCTCAGTGCTAGAGCATCTGCTTTGCATTCAGAGGGCCCCGGGTTCAGTTTTTGGCACCTCCAGTTAGAGAAATGATTCAGTAATGTGAAAGATGTGAACCTGAGAGCCCCGGTTGTCAGGATAGTTTCACTTGATAGACAGTGATCTGACAGGCTCATGCAGGTGAGAGGCAAGCTCCCCTTCCTTTGCTTCCCTATTTGCATTTGGAACCCATGGAGGAGCTTCTTCCTGCCGCTTGGGTGCCCTTGTCTGTTCCGACCACTAGGTGGCAAGAGGCTCTGCAGACCTCATCCTAGACCCAAGCATGAGCCACACGGCCAGCACACTCTCCTGCTGGCTTTCCTGCTGTTCCTACCAAGGGTCAGAAGGGATGGGTCTTACCATATACTTTAAAGGGGGGGGGGATATGGAGTGTACCAGGCAGACCGTTAGTTCTTAGATGCTCTGTTTAGCTATGAGACCAGCCCCAGAATATCCTGCTGAGCTGGGAAGACCTCCGCCGCAGTCTCTGCTCCTGTCCTTCTGCTCAGCTACTGCTTCCTAACTTGAAAGGGGTGTGGACAGGCCCAGGCAGTGAGAGGGTTGTTCTCCCCACCACCGCTTCACTCCTTCAAGGGTCCTGGCTTCTGCATCTCTTCTTTTCTAGTCAGGCAATGGGGAGACGCTTGGGGGTTTGGGTTCTAGGCTGACCACATCAGCTCCACAGTCTCGCTGTCTCCGAGCACAGCATCCACTGGGCTAAACAGCTAGGTCGCCAGGCTTCCATTTGCTGCCAGTCTTGCTGCACTTGCTGTCTCGCTTCTGGCTCGCAACCCAAGCGGGGCTGTCATTCACCATCCCTGCTCCAGGGCTCTCCCCCTTAGAGACCTTGTCCCTAGACTGCAAAGTGATACTACGGGGTGGAGTAGTGCTCCCATGTCCTTGGGGATCGGGACTCCTAGCCTCCTCCTCAGCACCTGGATTGTGTCTGGCTGACTGTCTCACCCTGCATTTGGTGAAGGCCACGTGGTACACCTCTACTATGTTGAGCAGGAGGGAGAGGCAGGCCACGGCTAGCATGAAGAGGATGAAGATCGTTTTCTCAGTGGGGCGGGAGATGTAGCAATTGACTGTGTTGGGGCAGGGCCAGCGGCTGCAGGTGTAGAGAGGCTTCAGCTCAAAACCATACAGGACATACTGCCCCAAGATGAAGCCCACCTCAAAGAGGGTCTTGAAGATGATGTTGCAAATGTAAGTCCTCAGAATGGCCCCCTGGAGGCGGATCCTACCTTGAGTATCCCGAATGGAGACCTTGGTGGGGTTAGGGTTAGGGTGTCCCGTAAGGGAGCTGCTACCCTGAGCTTCCAGGCTTTCTTGTTCCTTCTGTTCCATGCGCACCAGGTGCAGGATGTGGCCCAGGTAGATGAGGCTGGGTGTGGAGACAAAGATGATCTGCAGCACCCAGAACCGGATGTGGGAGATGGGGAAGGTCTGGTCGTAGCAGACGCTCTGGCAGCCGGGCTGCTTGGTGTCGCAGGAGAAGTTGGACTGCTCGTCCCCCCACACTTTCTCTGCAGCAGCACCCAGGACCAGAATGCGGAAGATGAAGAGCACCGTCAGCCAGACTTTGCCCACGACTGTGGAGTGCTCCTGCACACTCTCCAGCAGCCTTCCAAGCAGGTGCCAGTCCCCCATGGGCACCACATTTGTTTGCCCTGAAAGAGAGGGACAGGCAGATGCCATTAGAGGCATTGGAGCACCTTCTGTTAACACAAAGGGAGTGAGATGCCAGGAGGGGCGGGTTCTACCTGTGCTGAGTTTGCCGACCTGGCTCATTCTGCCTTTGTTCTCTGGTGGTACCCATTGTGCCTCTCAAAGCCTGAGTTTAATCTGACCAAAGGCAACAGAGGCCCCAGGCCTGGTTAACCAGTTACTGGCCAGGAGTAGCAGCTCTGCCTCTTTCCTGTATTTAGCTCTGTTGCCCCTGCAAGCACAACCAAATGGTATTACTCTGCAGCACTACCCTAGCCTAAGGGGAACATACAGGGAACATACTGCCACTGCCCTATTCAAGAACTGAAATTACTGCAGGTATGCAGCTGAAGACCAGAGGCAAGAAAATCCCTGCAGTAGCTGCAGCAAAACTCACCACTTCCAGCTTCAGAAGCACCAGCATCAATCGGCTGCAGTCCTGTCGAGCATCTCTTGCCCAAAGAGCACTGCCCCCCCCTCAAAGGAAGCTAAAAGCAAGAGCCCACAAGTGCCTGACCAGCTGTTGCCGTTCGTTGGTACCATCACCGGAGAACTGAGCTCTTGAGTCTCTGTCCAAGGCAGGGCCTTGTTGCCATCAGAGCTTTGTTGCTTATTGGCTCTTGCCATGACTGACCAGTACAGTAGCCACTGGGGATTGGGGGTAACCTCCTCTGCCTTTATTTTCGGCCTGGGCACTTTGCTAATTATAACCCCTCCTGCAGGGTGAGTGTACATGGTACAGGGGTTATATTTAGGTAAGTGCTCTCCAGCTCACAGGACCTTGGAGTGACCCGCCTCTGGCTGCATGTGTGCTGTTGGAGGGTCATTTCCTTCCTCTGGCTGACCCAGCATGGAAGCTATGGCAGTCAGCTCCCCTTTACTGCTGACTCCTTCCTCCAACCTGGAGCAACATGACATTGTGGCGAAGCACTTCCTCTAGCACAACTTTGCATCTGCTCCCAGTTCAATGACAATGTTGCCAGCCACTCTCCTCTGTGACCCCTTTCTTGGGCCACTAGGAGACGTCGGTGAGAGGGCTTGTGCTGCCGCAGTAGGAACTGTGGACTCTGGTCTTCTGTTGTCCCGCTGTCAGGCATTTCCTGTGCCCTTGCATAGCAACTGAGCCTGCAGAAGTTAAGAGACCGCTTGGAGCAAACACAGTCAACATATTTTAACAGTGGCCACAGTGGGTTCTTATCCACCTGTTGTGTGAACCTGATTTGCAGCTTGTCCTGCTTGCATGCATACCAGCTCCCATCAGTCTTGCTTCAGGTGGGCTAGCCTTAAATAGTGCCATGTGTATGAGCAGTAAAGACTTAACAAAATTCGAAAAACAGCAGTTGTGCAATACCATTTTATTACCTATAATAATAAATACCTCCATGTGATACAGACAAGATGCAGATGGGGGCTCTCATCCAGCCTGATGAAAGACCCTGGGAAACTCAAAAAGTTTGTGCACTTCCATGTTATTTTGGTTGGTCCTAATCTAAAGATATTACATGGCTGTTGTTTTTGGAGTGGTCATATGGATGCATATGGCATTCTTCCATATTAAAAATGTGAACAATTAAACTCAATTGCAAAAACAGCTGCTGGGGGGGGTGTCAAAGATTCCTGATGTGTGTTGGTGATGTCCCAAGCACTAGCCAATCAGGCACTGGAGCTGGCAGCCATTTTCCCCACAGTCACATCAAAACACTCCCCAAAGGTACAGAATGATTTTTCAGTGCTCTCTCTGACAGAAAAAGTAAGGTTTGGATTGTTGAGTACACCACTTGAGCCCCACTGCTCTCCAGTATCTCCACTCCCCTAAATCCTACCTGATGGAGCAACCCTAAGCAGTTTTACTCAGTGGGGCTTTACTGTCAGGAAAATGTTCTTCAGACTGAAAGCCTGGTTTTCATAGTCAGCCGACAGCATTCTCCCTCCAGTGGCATCTGTAATGCAGCAAGTTTGAACAAGGAGTCCATGGAAAAAGATTTGCCCTCTGTCTTGTAGCTGAATGTGTGAACTGCCTGTGTTTGAAACGTCCTGCGTACAAGGTGTCTGTGGTGTTTGGTGTGTGTGCTATGGTTCACACACGCAAAATACCACTTGATGTTGCAGCCACTGAGGAGTAAGCATACATGTGTGAATTCACCTAAACCTAGAATTGGGGAGGAAGAGCAATTATGCTCCTTGGAGGAGTGATGTGGAAAGACAGTCTGCTGGACTAGCATGCTACTGTTGCTGCTTCACTTGCTCATGTTCTGATGATTTTGTAAAGCTATTCTGAACACCAAAATGTTGCTAGAGAGGGCTGCATACACATTTCCAAAAACAAATGCTTGTCCCAGTCTTCATGAAGTGCCACTATTTCCATGTAGGAAGCTGGGTGCCTCCTTTTCACCTCAACTACAGAAAAGTCATTTTGCAAAGGCCCAGAGCCCCACTAGTGCACAAGGAGGAGATTTGCCCTGAAATTCTTGCGCAGAGTCCTAGATGCATTGTGAAGAAGTGCAGCCACCACTGCTTATAATAGGTGACTGGGACCTGCAGCTGTTGGCCTGCAACTACATGTGGAGATGACAGCATTATGACAGTCCCGGGGGGGGGGGGCAGTTTGAGCACACACTGTCTCTCCCAGACAGCAGCGCCCCTCCCCAAGCTTCAGATGGAGGGTGTGTTTGTGCACACCTGCTTCTCTCTATTTCAGTCTCCCACTGGGAGTATAAGCGTGTCCCACTTACCACAAGTCTTTATCTCTTGGTAGTTTAAGTTACAGACAAGAGCCCTACAGACAAATGACTGAAGGCAGAATTGTAAAATCAGCTTTTAATACTGATTGCTTTGGTATAGGGATGTGAGACTGGAGAGAAGAGCAGTTTGCCCCCCCACACACACACACACCTCGGCTTGGCAACCTCCCAATCCTTCCCTTGCCAAATGAGAGCAGCAACCAAGACTTAGGATTGGCCCCCATTTTTACACTTGTGCCACTGGCAGAAGTTCAAGAGGGGTTCCTTTCTGTCATTGTTGCCGAGGCAAGTGGCTCCTCTTGAACGTCTCCCTGCCCTGCTGCTGAGAGACACAGGAGCCCTGGTGGTGGGCAAAGGTGGCAATTCTGCATGGGGACATCTTCCTTTGGTGCTTGTGTTATGACAGCCCAGATCCAGGGCACAAAAGATGGGCATTAAGTGCCAGGCTATAAACACAAGGACTGAAGTAGCTGATCTGTTGCCCTGCAGAAAGATGGCAGGAATCCTTGTGATTTTATTTCTGCACCGCAAAATTCCAAAATTGACAGAGATGAAATCTAAATTTTGCTTCCAGAATTTACAACGCAAAATTATGTGCAGTGTTAAGATTACGTTGATTCCTCCGCCCCTTCTTTTGGAGAGGATTAGGCGGTGCAGGACCCAAGAAAGGGAAGGGTCTCCCCAAACTGCAACTGCGGTTTCTTTGGGAGCTCTAAGTGGAAGCCACCATGCCTTCCCTATTCACCCAGGCAGCATGGGCAACAGAGGTCAAGTTGAAATCTTCTTGCAAATATTCTGCAGCTGGTAGGTTCTGCAGCAACTATACCAATTCTTACCAAATCCATGGAAATCATGCCTCTAGGCAGCTGGTAGGCTGGCAGCAGGGAGCTAAAAGAATGGTCAGGGCCAGTGATGAAGTGAAGGCTGGTAGAGGGGCTGAAGGCACTATGAGGGAACTTCCTTCATAAGAAAGACCCTGCCACCTCCCACCCACAGCAACTCACAGATGAGTCCCACATTCTCTTCCCAGTCCTGTCTACTGCAACCAAGCACCACCTCCATGGTCCCAATACCCTTAGCAGGCTGAACAGCGGTCAGTCTTCTCCTGTGCCCCTGAATTACGACGGAGAATGTCCTTGAGGGAGCTGTCCTGTTCTGTCAGCAGTTGGTTGATTTCATTCTGCTTGTACTCGGACAGCTTGTGGCCCAGGAAGGAGCCCTTTCCTGAAGATGGGTTAGGGTTTCGGTGACCACGGCGGGCACATGCCCGCACCAGCAAGTACACCAGTTCAATCACGTTGAGGACAATACAAATGGCAGAGGTGGTCAGCATGAAAACAGTGAAAATTGTCTTCTCTGTGGGCCGTGAGACAAAGCAGTCAACAAAGTTGGGGCAGGGATAATCATTGCATTTGACCAGACGGACCATCTGATACCCAGGGTAGATGACATAAAAGATGTACATGAAGGTTCCTTCAAAGATGATGCGGAAGATCACGCTGCAAACATAAGTCCACCATAGGGACCCTGAAATGCGCATCTTGTGTTTCTTGACCTCTTCCAAGTGCTTGGCATCCCCATGGCCTGTCATCACTAACAGCTTCTTCTCCTGATGCTGCTGGTATGCCACGTGCATGGCCACGAGCAAGGCCGGAGTGGTCACCAGGATGAGCTGCAGGGCCCACAGGCGGATGTGGGAGATGGGGAAGTAGTGGTCATAGCAGACGTTCTTGCAACCAGGCTGTAGCGTGTTGCAGATGAAAGAGGCTTGCTCGTCTCCCCAGACACTTTCAGCAGCTACCACCAACACCATGATGCGGAAGATGAACACTACCGAGAGCCAGATGCGGCCAACGGCTGTGGAGTGACGGTTCACACCAATCACAAGGGAGTAGAAGCCTTCCCACTTCATTCTTCCTCACTCCTGCAAAGAAAAGACAAGAGACTGGTCTGGTCAGAGCAGTCATGCCAGGAGAGGGAGGCAGGAGAGGGTCACGTCACATGCTGCTAATAACACAGAGGTAGTAGGAGTATTTGGCTTCAAAAAGAGCCTCTTCCAGAACTGCCTGTCTCTCTTCCACCACACCAATACAACAAGTTCTAAACCTGGAATCAGTATTCATGCCAGTTTTCTGTGTCTGGTTTTTGTCCTGTTTGAAACTTTCTTTCCTCGTAGGCCTGCACCATTAATAAAATTGCCATATATTAGCTGTGGCATTCTCCCAATTCATACAACCATGTTTTTTGTGTTGGTGTCCACACAACCCAACTTTTGCTGTTTTTTTTTTTAAGGGGGCATAACTTTCTGGTAGAACAGCTGCTTTGCATGCAGAGGGTCCCAGATGCAAGCCCCAGCACAGCCAGTTAAATGGACCAAGTAGGTGAGATCATGGATAGCTGCTGCCAGTCAGAGTGGGCAATACTGACCTTGATAGAGCAATGCTCCATCAGTATATGGTCAGTTGTCTGATTCACTATAAAGCAGCTTCATGTTGGGAACTGTTTTTCCCATTCCGGCTTATATTTTGAAAAAAAATATATTTTGGGGTGAGGTATTATACAATGACATGTAGAGCTGCAATCAAGATGACTGCAAGGGTGCGGGGGTACATCTACTCACACTGAGTCATCCTGAACACATAAACAATGGTTTTGCCAATGCGTTCTCTACCTGCAGCCAGAATGGGATAGCAGCTTGATAAAACCAAACACAAGGTCTGACAGCCATATGCAGGGCCACTGTAAATGGCTCCCTGCAAAGAGCAGCTCCCCACATGAATCACAGGCACAGTTATGCTGTACAGGAGCCAATCTTACAGCGCCAGTCCGGGGGGGGTTGATTAAGATTCAGACTCCAGCACCATGGGAGGGAGAGTTAACCTTCCTTCCCCTATACCATTTGCTCCCCTTCCCCAGGCTATTCTTTTTTTAAATTTATAGTTTTTATTCAGATTAACATTGCAAATTTATAACAGTTTATACAAGTGAAATTATACAAAGTACAAATTCAAAACAAACACGATACTGTAAATTAAGAACATATTTTGATGTACCATTAACTCTAATCCATCACGTTAAGTACAGACTTTCATACTCATCAAAGATTTTTTTATGCATTAAGTTAGTGCTCTGCTTTTTAAATAATAAAGACAATAACTTAATGACCGTTTATAGACAAGATACAGAACTAAGACAGTAGAAGTAATTTAAGAGAAAAACGTTAATAGATTAATAATGTTTCAGATCCATTTATAAAATTGTGACCACTGAGAGGATACAAAGTGCTGCTGAGCCAGGTAATCTAAGATTGGATACCATTTTCCTGTGAATTACGATTGGTTTGATATTTGAGAATTATAAGGTAATTTATTGGTAACTGCATCCATGAGGTGGCTATTCTTACTAATAACAGGGCCCATGCTTTTTCTGTAGTTGCTCCCACATTCTGGAATGGAGTCCCAGAAGAAGGAAGGGGGCTGTAAGGCTGTTTTAGACACATGGAGTGTCATTTGTATGAATTTTACTGCAAGTTATTAGCCTTTACTGGTAGGGGGAGAATTTAAGGTCTTATTGTTGTTTGAGGTTTTAATTATGTATAAGCTACCTTGCCCTGACCTGGATAGCCCAGCCTATTCCAATCTTGTCAGTTCTTAGAAGCTAAGCAGGGTTGGCCCTGGTCAGTATTTGTATGGGAGACGACGAAGGAAGTCAAGGGTTGCAGCAGCACAGAGACAGGCAATGGAAAACCACCTCTGACCTTCTCTTGACTTGAAAATTCTATATGGGTTCACCATAAGTCAGCTGCGACTTCACAGCAAAAAAAGCCACCTAGAGCCATGAGGAAATAAAAGTCTTAATACATAAATAAATGGCTGTTCTTTATGGGTAAAATAATACAGCGGGAGGTCTTATAGGTCTCAGGTCTGGTCTGGTTGAGGTCTGGCCTGAGCATTCTCTTTGTCCCAAACTTTATTCATACCCACCAGGCAGTAAACCGAAAGGCTGGTTCCGAAACCTACAGTTAGCTGCCTTTGGCAGTCTGCCACTGTTTCATTGGGGAGCTTTCAATGCAGCTCCAGGGACATCTCTACCTCCCACTCTCCTTTCTTACCACCTCCCACTGTTGCTATGAGAGGCACGTGCAGTGCGGAAGAGGCCCTGCATTCCACCGTGGGCAAAGTGGCGCTGAGGTGACTGCTGAGGCCTTGGGCCAAGGCAGGGACTGAGGCTTTTCAGAAACCCTGGACCAGCCCCTGCATCGAAGTCAGCATCTCCCAAGGGAGGGGGGTCTACTGGGAAGCAGTGAGTCTGAAACAGGCCTGCTCTGCTGCAGCAGAGACCAGACGGAGGCAGTCCTCCCTCACTTCTGAATGGCCCTTCACTCTGGGGGAGTGAGAGAGCCAGTCTTGCATTCTCCCTGCCAGGAGGGTCTCTCCTCTGGGCAGAGGCACAGCAAGTTGCAAAGGAAGGAGATGCCATCGGTCACCCACCCCAGCCATTCAAGAGAGGCCGGCTGCTGAGCAAAGCGCCATAATTCTTCACCTGGTGTCGCTACACTACAATGAGCAATATTTTGAGCTGTGAGCCCAGGAGCCTCACCCCAGCCATAAACTCATCCAATGGCCTTTGGCAGCCCTTTCCCACCCTGCAATAAGGTGACAATAATACCGAATCCCTCCACCACCACAGAGATGATGCAGGGAACACTGACATGACATACAGACACGTACCATTATTGCTATTCCTGAACAGATTCCCAGCTTTTGGGAGTCTCGACACCTCAGCCCTGGGGAAGCTGAACCAGCACAGCCCTTGCACCTGCAGAATGAGGCCCAAAGCTAGAAGCTCTCCAGACAGAAGTCACACACACACACCTTGCCTCAGCCCCAGACCACCACTTCAATCAAACAGAGGATTCTCACAGGGGTCCCCCCCACCCCACCACTGGAGACCCCCACTTTAGGGTGCCACCCGCCAAGCCTTATCCACCCATAAAGAGCTCCCGAGGCTGGCAGTCTGAATGGGTTCAGACAAGGTCCCACAGCCCAGACATTACCTTGCAGCGGGGGAATGGAGCGTTCCCAAAGCAGCCTCAGGCTATAGGCTCATGTCGCCCCGCAGACTGTGCCCGCTCTTTGCCGCTGCTCAGCTCCAGGGAGTCATATGCTGCTTTATAAACTACTTTGCATACAATGAGGCCTTTATCGGCCCCCAAACAACGCGCTTTAGAATTCAGGTCCACTGCCCGGACTTCCGCCCACCCTTGCCAAACAAAGTGTCTGTGTGTGGCATTCCAGGCTGTCATAGCCTGCACCAACACCTGGTTCCAGGCTCCGCCAGGGGTGAGGAGGACCCCACATAGCGCTCTCTCTCTCCCTTCTGTGCCTTTTTGGGGAAGAGTGTCTAGATGGCATGGTGGAGGATGTTGCAAATGTTGCTGGGGGTGGCTGAGGATCTGGAGCACTTGGCAGGCCAGGCCTTGGGCTGGTGCCCTAGATGTGCCTTGGAGACACAGCAGCAGCCCCGGGGGAAGGAAGAGTTAAGACTGGACCGGCTGCTTACAGGCCTGGGGGTCAGAGCATTCAATGTACGCCAGCGGCCTTGTCATGACGCTGCTGGGCAGCAGCTGGACCGTGTTTTTCCGTCAAAAGGCCGACGACTTGCATCTCTTTCCGGGGTCCAGAGCAGAGTCAGTGCCGGAAGCTGGTGTCAAGCCTGACGGAGCACAAAGGGGCCCTCAGTTCTTTGTGTCCAGGCTGACCCTGCTCCAGTGCATCCTTCCCCCCACGTAAACACACACACACACCCTCCATCCTTCCGTGTGGAATCAATTCCAAGTACAGAGCTGCCCAGGAGAGCAGAAGGCTGGAGGTACTGGCCACGGAAACTCACACTGGGAGAAATTAGCAAACTGCAAAGTCATTATGAGACACAAAAAGGCCCCCTCCTGAGCATATCCAGTCAAGGTACAGGGAGAAGAGCCGGGACCATCCATTGGGAGCAGCCTGTCCCAAGCAGCTCTAAACTACCAAAAGACATGGAGGCTGGGTGAGTCGTGGCTGAAACCTTTTGGTGCAGACCAGAGGAAGGGAGCCAAGGACAGCTCCCACAGCCAGTATCTGGATGGGGCCCCCAACACAATTGCGCAAAGCACCACTGAATCTTCCACTTGCCCTGAGTACAAAAAGGGCAGGCAGAAAGCTGACCAGAAAGGTAACCATTAAGCCAGTTCAAACACAGCCAGCCCAGAGGCCCTTGGGCTTAAGAGAGCAAAGGTCCGCAAGGCCCTATCCTGTTGGTCTCTCTGGCCATACCTCCCTCTCTCTCCAGAACTAAGGAGGAGACCACTCAACATGTGCAGAAAACAAAGACACAGACGAGTGATTTCCTTCAGGCAAACAGGGAACTGGGGGAGCGATTGAGGTCAGGACCGACCGTGGCATGGGCATTTAACTCTTCATCCCGTTCTGTTTCCCAGGTAGAAATACCCCCCCCCGCCAAAGAAGCAGCTGTGTACAGGGGAGACAGCAATTATACCATACCTGTCTTCTGAGGGGACATTTGCCTATTGCTACAGAGGTCAGTTGCTCTGACAGGGACAGATTTCTGGATTTTACACCCCCATTTCTCTTACAAAGCCTGGCCCAGGTATTATACCTCTCTCCCCCCCCCTTCATTGTTCCTAACAACAGCTGGGTGGAAGGAACCATTCTATCTAGGAAATGGCATAGGAAACGAAGGATCAGCTCCCCACAGCCTTTATCCAGATCACACACCCAGCCCGACCGCCATTTAGTGCATGGATTCCATATCTGGTGCAAAACATGCATGGCTGCCCGTCTGTGCTAGGACAGAGATGGCCCCTTTGAGGTCTGGTGACTGTGGACCTCTGCTCAGGTGCTGGCCCAGAGCTAACATAGGGCTCATGGGGCCAGCAGCCCCCTATTGCTTCTTCTGGGCCCCTTCCCTCCTGGGCTGCCCCCAAAGTGCTCCAACCTACCACCTGCATTGTACTTTCATTTAATTAGCTGGCGGGCCCCCGAGGCCGGGGGCCCCCTCCCAAAAAATTCCCTAGCTACGGAGCTGCTCAGCTGTCCTGCAAACAGAGGTGGAAGCAGCTGGTGGGTGCGGTGTACAAACCGAGATAGTGAATGACCACACCACAATGAGCGTGGCCGCCCCCCCCCCCCCCCCGATATTAAAGTTTGCTTAGTGGGAGAAGACGGGGGGTGGGGCGGCTCAGCCTGACGTCAAACCTGGTATCAGAGCTGGTTCTCCAGCCAAGTCACCCAAGCGAAGGAGGGTGCTGATGCAGAGCAAAGGCTCCACTGGCTCCTGGTCGTTGACTAGCAAGTGGTGGGGGACCTGAACCATGCCCCTGCGGAAACACCACAGCAATGGACTCAGCCAGCAACGGCATAAGAGAAGTCACTTAGGGCAACACTTATTTTATGTATTCATTTAATTCATTTTCACACCACACCTTTCTCCCTAATGGGAACCCAAAGCAGCTCACATCCTCCTCCTCTCCTCCATTTTATCCTCACAACCACCCTGAGAGGTAGGTTAGGCCGAGAGAGCGTGAGGGGCCCTAGATCACCCAGCAAGCTTCCAGGGCATGAGAGGGGATTCCAGCCTGGGTCTCCCAGATTGTAGTCCCACACTCAACCTCGACACCACATCGGCTCTTGAGAATAGGCTCTGCTCAGTAGTGCCATCAACAAGGCTGGGCAAGGTGGCAGAGCTCAAGACTGGCAACGAGGAGAAGATTGGCAGTTACCAGCAGTGTTCCCTCTAAGGTGAGTTAGTGTGAGCTAGCTACGGAGCTGCTCAGCTGTCCTGCAAACAGAGGTGGAAGCAGCTGGTGGGTGCGGTGTACAAACCGAGATAGTGAATGACCACACCACAATGAGCCAAAACCATTGTACACCGCCTCCAGCTCACCCATTTTTGTCTCAGCTCAGGAAGGATGGCTCCAGAGCAAACTAATTGATGCAGTAGCCAAATCGCTCGCTCACAACTTGAATGCCGGTAGCTCACAAAGTAGAGTTTTTGCTCACAAGACTCCACAGCTTAGAGGGACCATTGGTTACCAGTAAAAGGCCCCAGCGCACCCCGCAAGGACTCCCGTTAAAGGCGCCATATTTCGAGGCCTAATTTGAGTGACGCCTCAGCGAGCGCCTATTGGTTTCTTGGGAAAGAGGGGCGCGCCCTGGCAGTGTTCCCTCTAAGCTGAGTTAGTGTGAGCCAGCTCAGTTTTTCAGCCTCCAGCTCACACATTTTTGTCTTAGCTCAGGAAGGAGGGCTCCAGAGCAAACTAATTTATGCAGTAGCCAAGTCACTCGCTCACAACTTTAATGCCCGTAGCTCACAAAATAGAATTTTTGCTCACAAGACTCCACAGCTTAGAGGGAACATTGCTCCCTGGTTCCCTTTCCGGGCTGCTCAGTTCCCGGCCTCGGCAAGCCACGTTCACACGCAGGAACAGGGGATTCTGCCATTTCAATCACTATCCCATGGATTTCTGTATGTTTTAATCGTTTATGTAATGATAAGAGCTCCTCAAAGACCTTGGCGCTGGAAATCCTGCTCACCCTTTCCCCACCTCGGGTGTTCAAGCAACTGAAATTTCTTTTCCCTTTCGAAGGAAGGGGGGAAGGGGAAATTCTCGGCTCCCCAAAATGTGGGTAGAAAGCCCCAGGCCCGGCACAGCGCCCCGCTGGAGTAGGTGCGAACTGCTTCCCCTGCCCATCCGCTCTTGGCTTTGAACTTTGTAGAGCCGATGGGAGCGAACAGAAAACCTGTTCCAAATGGACTTTTCAGCTACCAGTTTGGAACTTGTCCTTCGGTAAGAAAAGGTATCGCCTCGCACCGTTTCAATCCACTCGAATTCGCTGCTCAAAGCTTGGGAGGGGGCGAGGAATTTCGCAGAGCTCAGCTGAAGATTTTGGGACTTGCCAGAAGCACCGCTCTCCGCCCCGCCCCCCAATAATGCCTTTAGCGGTTGATACTCGCCACGTCCCCCGGCAGCAGAATCCCAGTCGAGCCCGGCTGAGCGACTCCTGTCCCGGCACGCTCACCTGTAGCAGAAGCCGATACTGTCCGCCACCAGATCACCCTCCTCTTTTAGAAGACGTAGCCAGCGAGGCAGAGACCTTTATACCTGGACTGATCCCTCCCCGTTTCTTCGATCCGAGGAGAGGAGAGCCTGATTTGCTCCCCCCTCCCCGCCTCTTCGCAGCCTCTTGCCCTTATACAAACACTTCAGAGACGTATAAGCACCTGGGTGTGGGTGAAGCACTGGCAGCTCAGTCCAGGCAGGCTGTTGGTGGAGGCAGAGGGCAGCCTCCAGGCGAATTGTCCGTCCCCAGCCGTCGATGCTTCCCACCCCACCCCCGGCTGGATCCCTGCCTTTCGCCTACACGATGCTCAGCTGATGGTCATCTGCGATTGCAACAGGGTGTGCCCTGTCCGCTCTGGGGAGTGCCAGCCCCAACTCTTTCTTGTGCCCCGAATCACGATTTCACACATCGCCCCTGAAGCAAGAGCCTGCCCTGCGCTGCCAGTGTGAAGTCTCCAAAGCCTCTTGCCAAAAGTCAACACCTCGCTATCTCTAAACATTAACTCGTGTGCTCGGACGTCCTATTCCAAGGTCCCGTCAGCAGAGTGACACAAACAGCTGTGAAGCAGCCCAAAGATCACAAGTCCCACAGACGCCACTGCAGCATTGGCTGTGCACCACCTCCCTCCCAAGCACACAATCAGGGCATGGCCCACCCGTGAAGCAGCCACTACCCCCAACTGTCACACTACAACTTCACACTCTGGCTGAGGCCTTCCCAGGGCTCCCAGTTAGTGGGCCCAGCAGCTGGAACCCAGTACAAAGGATGGCCAAAACGAACGCCAGGCTTCAGTTGGCCAGCCACCCTTCTGCAGCATCAGGGCTTAGCTCTGAAATCAAAGGATTCTTCAAGAACGCATTCAGAATATGACTGGGGAATGCCTCCTGAGCCTGTGCAGAGTGCTTGCCCCTTTGCTTCCAGTCACACATACAGGACTGGAAGCAGAAGGCCTGCTCAGAGAGTGGTTTCCAGTCAGCTGTGTATGCTTTTCTCATTTAAAGACCCCAACCAGTCACGGCTCTCATCTAGACCATTCCCAAGGGGCCTGCTTTGTCCAAAGAACGGAGACTCTGGAAGCACCTGCTGCTCTCACCGTGACCCATAGGCCTTGGGAACCTGGGATCAGGAATCCAACTCCCAATCCTTGACGAGACACCGTCGGTGCCATCGGTGAGGGTGAAGAGGAGATTGGATTTATCCCCCGCCCTTCACTCGGAGTCTCAGGGCGGCTTACAATCTTCCTTTCCCTTCCCCTCCCCACAACAGACACCCTGTGAGGTAGGGTGGGGCTGAGAGAGCTCTTTCCAGAACTGCCCTTGAGAGAACAGCTCTGACAGAATTATG